ATGGTAAAACAACTCAGATATTGTGATAGAAAGGTGCAGTTTTGGGCTCAGGTTAAGGCCAAGGGTAGAAAGAATTCAAGAAAATCTGAACTTAGGCCTATAATCACTGATGCAGACATTATCAGTTTAGTTGAAGAGGTTCCACCAAACAAGGAGTTAGATATTTTTGTTGAACATTTATTTGATGATCAATGGGATTATGATGTAGAGATTTCTAGGGAATTGGGAGATGATTGCCTATTGTATGATGAAATAAATCAGAGTAGTGACAATGAAGTTGAAGTTGAGGTTGGAGGTGAAAATGAAGGTGAGGAACACAATGTTATGGACAATCTTATGAACACTGGAACTAGTTCTAAGCATGCAAATCCTGATGGTGTGGTGGAAGGTGATGAAGTGAATGAAGTTGATTGTGAATTATCTGAAGAGATTTTCAGGAGTTTGGAAAATTCTGATGATTCTGATGGAGGAGTTCTAGACAATGTTTTCCAAGAAAGAAACATGAAAAAAGAAGGGTTTAAGTTTGTTCTTGGGATGATTTTCAAATCAGCAGATGAGTTTAAATGGGCTGTTAAGTGTCATGAGGCAATGAAGAGAAAAGATATTCTGTTTAAGAAGAATGAAGGCAGAAGGGTCAGAGTAATTTGCAGGCACAATAACATTTGCAATTGGACTATTTTTGCTTCAAGAAGTAATCCAAGAAGTCCATTTCAAATTAAGACATACAATTCAGAGCACACATGTGGGGATCAAGATGAGAATAGGACAGTTAACTCTGGTTTTCTAGCCAAAATGTACAAAGATGATTTTAAACTCAGAATGGGGAAGAATACAATTTCAAGAACATGTGAAGGCAAAGTTGAAGTGTCAGGTTACCAAACACCAGGCTTATAGGGCTAAACACAAAGCTCTAAAGCAACTACAAGGTGATGATTCAGAACAATTCAATTTACTGAATGATTACTGTGAGGAGTTAAAAAGAAGCAATCCTGGTTCTTCTGTGAAGATGAAGGTTGATAGTGAGTTCAGTGTTAATGGAAGACCTAGGTTCTTGAGATTATATGTTTGCTTTGCAGCCTGCAAAGAAGGGTTTTTGAGAGGGTGTAGACCCTTTTTTGGGTTAGATGGTTGTCATCTAAAGGGATGCCAAAAGGGAGGGCAACTACTGAGTGCTGTGGGTGTTGATGGTGATAACAGCTTATTCCCTATAGCCTTTGCTATAGTAGAGGGAGAAAACAAGGACAGTTGGTATTGGTTTTTGGAGTTATTGGACAATGATCTCAATATATCAAGTAATTCTAGTGCTTGGACACTTATTTCTGACAAACAAAAGGGACTCATACCTGCTGTTGAGGAGTTGTTCCCTGTAATGGAGCATAGATTCTGTGTTAGACATATGCATGCTAACTTTCAAAAGGATGGCTTCACTGGACATGTATTGAAGTTGAAATTCTGGGCAGTTTGTAAAGCAACAACAGAACCAGAATACAAGAGGCAAATGGATGAGTTAAAAGAGTTGAATGATAAGGCTGCTGAGTGGTTAGCTGCAAGAGATGCTAAACATTACTGTAGGGCATACTTTAGTACATTTCCAAAGTCTGATATGCTGTTGAATAATTTGTGTGAAGCATGGAATAGCACTATCCTTAATTTCAGAGACAAACCTATTCTAACTATGTGTGAGAAGTTAAGGATTTATCTTATGACTATGATGCAAAAAAATAGAGAAAGAATGAAGTCTCATCCAATGAAGATTTGTCCTAAGATATGCAAGTTGATGGAAGAGGAAAAGGACAAGGCATTTAGGTACAGCACTTATAAGTCCAGTGAAAACATTTACCAAGTAGATGATGACAACTTTAAGGCCTTCACCGTGGATTTAACACAGAGACAATGCAGTTGCAGAAGATGGGATCAGACAGGCATCCCTTGTAGTCATGCCATTGCAGCTATTAGAAAACAAAGAGAAAGCCCAGAAGACTATGTACACCAATGTTATACAGTGGAGTCATATTTAAGAGCATATGAGCCTTCAATACTGCCTATTTTATCTTCAGAGTTGTGGCCCAAAACAAATCTGCCAGCTCCACTACCCCCAAAATATAAGGCACAACCTGGGAGGCCTAAAAAAAAAAAAAAAGAAAGATCAACCCAGTTGAAGAAACCAAGAAGACCAGCATAGAAAAGACAAAGAAAATAGGGGAAGTGAAAAGGTGCAGGGTTTGTGGAGTCAAAGGCCATAATAAAGCAACTTGCAAGGCCAAAGATCCACAGGTACTTAATTGCTCAATTTCATCCTTATGTGTGACTAGAACTAGCTAATGTGTAATACTATTGCTTTGTAGGTATCTGAGATGGCAGAGGTAGTTGCTGGATAGAGTGAGGTACAAATTGATAGCCAGTTTGAGGATATACAAGTTGAGACACAAGTCCCATCTTTTGTACTTGATGAGATGGTAATTAAATGGTCATTTACTTTGAACAGTTTGGAAGGTAAGTAAATGATCTAACAGTTGGTTGTTATGGAATTCATGAGCAAATGACATCCCAGCCATCACAGGTAGTGCAGAACCAAGGCCCTCCACTCTCAAATTTTATTGCTTCACAACTGCCAACTGGAAGTGCTACTGGAAATGTCATCACAAGATCAGGGAAGACCTATGTTACTGTTTCAACCCTACAACAACAGAATGCAGCCCAGAGAGAGACCAGAAAAAAGAGAACAACTCAAAAGAAGAAGCAAAACTGACTTTGGTCTAGTTTGGTCTATTTTGGTACAGTAAGATGTTTTGGTAAATTTTTGTACTAGGCTGAATCTAATCTTTTGCTAAACCTTTGTACACTTTGGTCTAGTTTGCTAAACTTTTGTACTAGGCTCAAGTCTTTTGATAAACTTTTGTACACTTTGGTTTGGTAAACTTTCAACAATGTTTAGTTTGTATGGAATTAATGCTGTTGCAGTTGCAGTATGGAATTAATGCTTAGTTTGAGGAAATTAATGTTTAGTTTGTATGGAATTAATGCAGTTGCAGTATGGAATTAATATTTACACCATTTTACAGTAATGAGTTTGGTATGGAATTAATATTTACACTTTGCCAACAGGAATTAATACTGGTTTGAGTTTGGTGTGGAATTAAACTTTCAACAGGAATTAATATTTACACTTTGCCATTTAGCCAATTTGCTTTGCCAATAAGCAGTTTGCCATTTAGCCAATTTGCTTTGCCATTTACCCATCTTGATGTTAAGTAAAACCAGACCATAGCAATAATCAAATAAAACCATATCACTTAACCATTTTGCTAAGATTACATAGCCTTTCAAATAAAACAATATCCAAATACAACAAAACAATAGCCAATTCCACCACAAACCAGTGCTTACATAGTCAAATACAAACTGCCCAGTAATTTCTACACCCTAATTGAGCTGTAAAAGCTTTGCAATTGGTTCTGTGTTCACCCACAATCTCAAACAAACAAGTGCAACTACAAATCCTAATGTAAAACCATAAAAAAGGTAAACTTTAGACTCCAACTTCATCTTCTTAATCACACCATTTTCTTTTTCAATCATTGTTTGTAGCTTTTGGATTTCACTGTCCTTGTTATCCAACCTCTTCAATAGCTCTCTAATAACTCTGGATACACGCTCGGAGACATCGGAGTCAATCCATTCAAAAAACCTACAACTGCGATTACCCTGATAGGAAACGAAGTGTAACAAACCAAAACAAATGAAAGTTTAATTTTGGTAACAAATGAACAACAACACTGCGGTTTACTTACTCCATAATGTGGACAAGCTCTATATTTCTTCCCTGGATTCGCATTACTCCACGACATTTTAACCGGAGCCACTTCGCCGCACCAACATTGCACTTCTGGCATCCATTGTGTTGACCCGGTACTGGTTGAAGACATTAGGATTACGGATGAAGAAAATGGTGGATGAAATGGCTTGCACCAGCTACTCTTCCACTAGCCGAGTTAGGGTTGCAGGTCGTGGCTAACACAATGGGAAGAAGCTAGGCTAATATAATCAAGGGATAATAAGTGAAATTCCAATATTACCCATGCTGTAAACGGAGTTTAGGTTGGCTAACTAACAGAAGGACTAAATTGACAAACGTCGGACTAATTGAGGGACCAAAAGTGTCCAAATTGGAAAGCAAGGACAACATTGCAAATGGGGTACTAACTGAGGGACCAAAAGTGCGATTTTCCCTATATATATATATATATATATATATATATAGTGAAAGGTTTCCGTGCGGTTGAATGCTTCCCGTGCGGTTGTGCGGTTGATTAATGTGCGTGAGATTTGTACTCAATGTGCGTGAGTGATGTGCTTAATGTGCTTGGGATTTGTACTTAATGTGCGTGAATGTGTAAATGCAGCAGAAAATATGGATGTCTGCTTCTTCCCCATCCCCAGTAGCCATTGCCCCTCCCTGATGATGATGATGCGGAGGCGGCTTTGGTGGTTAAGAATTATGGGAATAATACAACAGAAATCCACACTTAGTTGGTGTGCAAATTTTGCTATGCGTGCGTCATCTATATAAACATTCAACTGCACTGAAGGTAGCTGATAATCCAGAATCCAGGGCCAATTGAAGGAAGAAGTAACAAGAAGCTTGGGCGTTAATGTGCGTGAGTTTTCTGTTCTGCTTCCTTCTGAGCTCGTAATTCTGAATTACTCACGCACATTAAGCACAAATCTCACGCACATTAAGCACAATACTCATGCACATTAAGTACAAAACTCACACATATTAACATTACGCACATTAAGTACAAATCTCAGGCACATGAAGCACAACACTCACGCACATTAAGTATAAACCTCACGCATATTAATCCACCGCACAACCGCACGGGAAGCCACAAATGCACCTGATCCCTTCCCTATATATATATATATTGGTGTGGAGCATCATCAACCGACTTCGATCAGATATTATTAAGCATACTGCATGAGATGGATATAATTGTTTGTGTACGGCTTTAATTTGTGTTTCATACAAAAATTGGTAATTGAATACTACCACTAGCTATGATAAGTGAAGTATATATACTATAAAATTAAAGTAAATACGATAGTTTAAGTACACATTAAGGGGTCAACTAGAAAATAAGATAGTTAATCAAAGGTTAAGAGGTTGATGAATTGTTATTTTCATGCAAAAGAGTACAACTTTGTTGTCACTATATTAGGGTTGGGTGTGAGTAGTACGTGTATTCTACTCATCAACTGACAATGACAATCTCAATAATTAATGTTACTCACCAAGCAACCTATGATGCATTCAACTATATATTCTCCCTTTTTTCCTTTTGTAAAAATAACTATATATATACATATATACATATATATATATATATATATATATATATATATATATATATATATATATAGTTCTATATGCATGTATGTCTTTGTTGAGATATCTTCTTAGGTAAATAGTCCAACGTATTATTATCGAAGTCATGGATTAAACCTTTTCCACTAATAAATTTATAGACTTAATTGATTGTTTGAATAATAACGTTTTGAGTGTAATTTATTGGGGTAATTAAAAATATTACTTTAACAACATACGTGTATAAAAGTATACATTAATGTTATGACATTGTGATAGCTCTAAGACCGAATTCCATTTTTGGTTCTACTGTTATATAGGTGTTTCCAATTTTAGTCCACCTTAATTTTTTTGCCACTTTATGATCACTATTATTGAATGTGTTTCACTTTTAGTCCACTGTTAGTATTTCCATCAAGAGGCCGTGTAATCTAGGGGTATTTTGATATTTCTTCTCATCCAAGACTATGTTTGACTAAAAGAAATGAGAACATTAAATAACCTAAAATCTAAGAAACCTCGTCGGCCCATGTTGGAACGAACGAAACGATGTAGCTTTGGCTTCCCATTTTCGTTGTTCGAAGAGCCATCTTCGAATATCGGAGGAGGAGGACAAAGCACTGGATTAAAAGAAAAGAGACAACCATAAAAAGACCAAAATTCCCTTGGATTATACGGCTTCTTGACGGAAATATTAACAGTGGACTAAAAGTGGAACACATTCAATAACCGTGGTTGTAAAGTGGCAAAAAAAATTAAGGTGGACTAAAATTGGAAACGCCCCTATAACAGTAGGACCAAAAATGGAATTCACTCTAGCTCTAATTAAGCATGGCCATCTAGGGCAATAGTTTTGTGACACACACACACACACACACACACACACACATACACATATATATATATATATATATATATATATATATATATATATATATATATATATATATATATATATATATATATATATATATATATATATATATATATATATATATATATATATATATATATATATAATAGATCTCTAGAGTAAAGCATGACTGTCGTACATGAAAGTTAAGAGTTCAATTCTTGTCAATAACTTCTCGGTTGAGCTCATTGTACATGATTTTCCTAATGTGGCTTACCTCTCATATGTGATTTGCGGTCTATTATGCAAGAGTGAGGTTTATTCCATGCACACTCTTGGATAGTAGTTGTGGGTTTCCCTCGTCATTAAAAAATAATAAAAGAAAGAAAAAGTCCTCAAAGCGGTGGTAAAGCAATAATCATTATACTATGAACCATGATGACCATTGATGTAAAGTTCATTTTTAGTATATTAAAATTAAAGCTCATTTTTAGTACATTGAATGTCCATTTTTTGAAAGTTCATTTTTTGTATACTGAATATTCATTTCTAGAAATTCTATGTTGTGGTAAAATGGGTGGAACATTATTTTCGTACATGAAGATCATGTGTGGACTCATTGCATAGGGTCTTCTTACCGTAGGATTTATCCCGTGCACACCGTAGGAGATTGGTTGCAAGTAAGTTTCCTTAATTTTCAAGTTAGTCACTCTCTCTCTCTCTCTCTCTCTCTCTCTCTCTCTCTATATATATATATATATATATATATATATATATATATATATATATATTTATTTATTTATTTATTTATTTATTTGTTTGTTTGTTTGTTTATTTATTTATTGTGGAACGGTACTAATTTTTTTTTTTAACATGCATGTAAAGCATGCATAAATAAATACTAATGAGTGATGATGTGATAAATGTTGAAAAAGACATAAAACTAAAATTTATTTATGGTTTATGAAATATGTAAGTACTATAAATTTATTTGTACATATTATTATATTCTTTCTATGCACTTTGGCACCAACTTGAATGCAATTTTAGTGGCAAATATTACAACATAACCACACAATATTCATCTATTTAATTATAGTGACAAAGTCATGTACTATACGGAGTAACAAAAAATTACTTGTCACAATTATCATAACATTGGTGGCAAAACTTGAAGTCACCACAATTTAGTAATTTTTGTTTCGGGATTATAGAGCGTCACAAATATATATTTATAACAATTTCATCACAGAAAAATGACAATATGAGTGACAATAATTTTTTTTTTAATTTCTTACAATCGTATCTCATTTTTAATATAATGGTACTAATTAATTATATTTTTATTGAAAAAAAAAAAGTTATCACAAATATTATTTTTTAAAAAGAGTGACCAACAACTATTTGTCACAAAAAGTACCAAAATTTGTGTCCATACTATATTTTGTCACAATTAATTACATTCGTTCCCGACTTCCCGCCATAATTATAATGCTGCCAAAATGCACATACATTTAGTGACAACTTAGGTTATGACACTATCACTTAAGTAATAGTGACAACTTATTTGTAACAAATACTTAGTTGTCACAATTCAATTACCATACTATCCATGACAAAAAAAAAAAAAAAAAAAAAAAAAAAAAAAAAAAAAAAAAAGTTATCACAATTATCATAAACAATAATGTTGAACTAATTTTTTTGGTCACAAAAAGAGTATTATTTGTGACTAAATTACAAAGTGTCACAACAATTTTGTCACTAAATGTCTTAATTCTTGTAGTGTACATCATTGCAATACTTTATTTTTTTCTATTAAAAATACTACTTGGACTTCTAAATTCAACTCCCTATTTTTACTCTCTCGATCACTCAAATTTTTATGTTAACAATTTCCTTGGAACCACAAGATGAAGAGATGACTTATCAATTATTATTATTTCTTGTCACATTAGGGGATAAAAGTAAAGGATCCAGTAGAGATTGAGAATCCATATATTATAATTCTTTTTCTACATTCCTATGATTTTAATTATCTTTCAAATAATAATAATAATTATTATTATTATTATTATAATAATTATAATAATAATAATAATAATAATTATTATTATTATTATTATTATTATTATTATTATTGTTATTGTTATTGTTATTGTTATTGTTATTATTATTATTAGGTTTGAGTGTTGTTGGTTAGTTTGGCTGTGTGGAAAGAGGTAGACGAAGGTTGAGGCAGCCATGATTGTTTCTCACTTCTTTTGGAATTTAAAAAAAAAATTGTTTTTTTTTTCTTTTAATATTTAAGAATAATAATTAAAATAATTTTTTAAATATAATTTAACATTATGACATCTTAACTTGGAAGTAACCTATAAAATATTATTTACACAATTTTTGAGTTTTTAATGGTCGAATTGTACACTATTTTTGTTTGATGATTTAATTGCACAAATTTCTAAAATTTTAGTGACTTATTTGACACTTTTTTCTTACTAAATAGATATTTAATTTGATGACCAAATTTGGAACAAAAATGATAGTCAAAGGACTATTTATGATTAAATTAAAAGTCAAGGATGACAATTGGTTAAAGTCAATAGATCATTAATGGAATTAACTATTATTTTTATTTATTTATTATTATTATTATTATTATTATTATTATTATTAATAAATTTTTTGAAAGCTTATTATTAATAAATTTGGTTTGCAATATAACTGTGCATTTTAGGCGTGGAGTATTGCAATATATTATGGCGTTGGGTGGGGTCGTCCACTAATAATAATAATAATAATAATAATAATAATAATAATAATAATTGAAATGACATTTTTACCCTTATATTTAACAGCCTTAACACTTACTTAACGGAGAGGGGGAAAAATAGCCACTTCAAAAATAATTGAGGGGATAAAGTGGTTACATAAACAACACATGGAAAAAATGTTCTATTAGTAAACAAAGGGGAAAAAAGTGTCCTTTTCTCTCTTTTTTTTTTTTTTTATTATTGATAATAGTACTGTATTAATTTGTCTAAAGTTAATAGCAACAATAAGATGATCTTTTGTGATGTATGTACAATTGTATGAAAGATAAATAAGACGAATCACAACTCAATTAGTTCATGCATTGTTTACGAAATTCAAAATGAATTATGGAATATATTTTATTTTACGTGTCATAATTTCATTAGTACTTGTTTTGTTTGTATTGTGAGTTATAAATATTTAATAATTGAGGATAGTATATAATTTGTGGGGGATATTGGCAGTGCACAAAGCTCAATATATACGACATTCTTATTAGCCACCAACTTAAAAAATTGGAGTTTAAAATAGATTATCATCATTTGTACTACCATTCTTATTTTATTCAACAAGTTCAATCAAAGATTATTATTGTACTATCATTGGTTTTTTAACCTATTGTGCAAAGGTCCAAAAAAAACAGTTGTTTTGCTTTAGGGACCCTTAAGAGATGCCAAAATGCAAGGGAATATGTCCAATAAAAATTAAGGGAAACCTAATACACCTTTCCCTTTCTGGATAGTAACTTTTTTTTTTTTTGAAAAAAAAAATTAACTGCCCATTTTCCCAATCCCAATGACTTCCCCAACTCTCATTTTGTCCAAAAATGAATAACATAATCTCCTATTTAGCTAATCACCCTATTTTATAATAGTTTCTTCCCAAACTATTTTATAATAGTTTTACTTTATTAGAAGTCCCTAGATACATGCGAAGACCAAAAAGTGAGAAAATTTATATACAATGGGTTGGATAAAAAAAATGCTAATAAAAATAAAATATATGACTTTTAAGTACAAATTAAAATTATACTTTACTCATTCGATCACTCATTTCGGAACAATATGAAATATAATAATTTTGTTATAAACATTAGTATATAAGTATTTAAAGTTTGTGGACCAGTTGTTATATTTTATTGCATAGATAAAGATAATTTTCAATTAATAATCAAATGATTAATTTTATATTTGAATCAGACATGTAATTACTTATTTTAGTTACATGTACATTAAAACTACCAGGATTGTAAAATGATAAAAAGTATTTATTTACTTCATTATATCAATCATTTAATTAAATAGAATTTTGAAAATAGATACACAGTGGTTAGGAACTATAAATATATGCAAAATATACCATAAGTAGCCAATGCAAACTTTACTTATGTGATATGTATATGGATCATTGTATGATTAAGTTATGTATATAAGTGAAGAAGATATTTGCCCTATTTGGTAACATAGTAGCTTATCAATCAATTTTGACTTATTATTTGATCACTATTAGATGTTTAACTTGGTTAAATAATCAATATGAGTGTTTGATTTATTAACTCTTTGTAACAGTTTATTGCTCCAAAATGTTAAAATTTAAAAAGTTGTTCAAAACAATTTTTTAATCAGTTTTTTGAAAAAATAAATTTACTAATGTTATCAACTAGTCAAATCCACTAAATCAATCAGCTAACAGCTATTTACCAAACACTCGATTATAAAATGTGCATTGAATGTTTTTAAATATGAATTGCATTTATTTATCCCATTTGTAATAAGTGACCCGATTTCGCACAAATATATCAAAAGGATTACTATCGAAATAGCGAATTAGGTATATGATTTCATTTGAGGATTGGAATATGCATGCATTAATGGATGGTTTATTATTAAAATAAATGAAGAAAATTAGTTTCCTGTTAAAAAAGATAATAATGAAGTGTTTTTTTTTTTTCCATCTATCTACCCCGTACGACTAACTCGTCGCCAATTTCTAATTTGCGTTGAAGATTGAATTCAACCTCAACTCAGTTCATACCATTCTCTTTTCTGGACTCTCCTTCTCTTATTTTTGTTCTATTTCTCCTTCCGTTTCTCTCATCTACAGTTTCGACTCCAAAGCCGAATGAAATTGAGCGGAGAATTTTGGGGTTTCTGATGTGATTCGGTTGAGTGTCAAAACACTTTTCGCAAAAGCACTTTTCTAACAGAATCAATTCCAAAAGAGGGAGAATACCCATCTTTTTTGGTTTCCTCTTTATTTTATGAGAATTACTGGCTCCTCTGTTTTGCAATAGGTATATTTTTTAAAAAATTCTCACTTTTTCCGGTTTTGGGTTTGGTTAGTTAGCTTTCCACTTGCAACCCACTTGTGGAATAGCAATAATTCTTATAGTTTGACAGTTTTCTTTGAGTTTGGGGAATTGTGAAGCTTACCTTTGCTTTACCTGTCTGGTTTCTTTGCTTGCTTGCTTGCTGGCTTAAATGGGTTTTGTGATGCTTCACTCAAAATATTACGTGAATCAAAAGTGTCTTTGTTTTTCTTTCTATAAAAAAAAAAATAGGAGAAGGGAAATAAAGGAATTATTAAGGTTTTAGTAGAAAGTCAATTTCTTGTTTGAGAATTTTGTTAAAACTGAGACAGGAATTATGGGAAGGAATCACAAGTTTGGGTGGGAAGAAAGGAATTCACATCATTTGTCAGCTTTCATGCATTTCCTGTGATCATATTGATGTCACTTCGTTTCTTTATTTTCTCCAATTCATTTATATTTATATATATATGAAGTAGTAGTTATTTTATCATGCAGAAAGTGCTGGGAAATTTGACCGATCTGTTGATCTGCTAACTACCCAATACGCGGTAAGCTAATTTAATTTATACATCTTTCAGATGCGATGCTTGGATGTATAACTTTACGTGTGTACACATGTATGTAGAGATTATGTATGTAGTCTGTTGAATTGGCTGATGTTTCTGGTTACAATTCATGGGGTTATGCTCGTGAGTGGCCAACTGTTTTGTTGGTTGCTCATTTATTTAACTTGTCACTTTATGACTTGTTAGCAGCTCATTTTATTCCAAGCTTTCATGTGATGATTTTCTATGTTCTTCAAGGGTCAGTTATATTTTTATGCAAAATTGTGCCTGGATATGTATCATTGTGGCACAAAAGAAGCATTTTTCCTGGTTCGTTTGATATGTTTTTGGGTCTAAAACCAAAATTTATTAATTTTGTGGTAGCGACTGGGAGATAGAGGAAAGGTTTAAGACATGGGATGCTTTTTGTCAACGCCGACGGACACTGGTGGAAATAGGAGACGCCCAGCAAACATTGGGGATGTTTCTGTGTTTGTCCCTGGACTAAGGATTCCTAAGCCAGTGGATTTCTCTCTGACACTTGGTGACCACCTGTCAAAAAGTCTGGTAGAGCGCCTTTCTGCTCTCAGAACCCGAATCGTTGTTATGGCAGGGCAAGAGGCTCCAACAATTACGCGAACAAGAAGGAAAACTGCCACTCAACATGGTAAGTTCTAAAGGATCCATTGTACTATTTTTTTATTTTGATATTTTCGAAAGAATGGGACATTGATGTATCAGCAGCTGTTTTCTGCAGGAGGTTCAACACTAGGGGATCTTCTGCAGGCTCTTGAGGATTACTTGCCAGTTCTTCTGGGACTGGTTAAAGATGGTACACAATTTAGGGTGTTTTTGAGGTTAGTATCTTTCTTTATCAATGTTAGTCCTGATCAGTTGCTTGCTTGGACATGGCAGGGAGCACTCTACAACATAAAGTACAATTTGATTGGGTTAACCAAGAGGATGATGCAGAGGTCGGATTAAGATTGAATTGCCTGCTTCTTTATTTGAGAGATCTTTTTTGCTGTGAGGAGCACTTATCCTACTTTATATTGTCAATGTTTCAGGAAACTGCAATGTTTAGTGCTTGGTATGAAGTATTGTCCGTTTTGCACTTGATGGCAATGCTTTCATTATCTCAAGCTAACTTGTTACTACTCCCTAGAACATCTCTTGATGGTTATCAGCCAAAGGTATCAGAAGGTGAGCACTGAATTTGGGAAACTAATGCCACATATTCTTTCTATAGCATGATGTGCTGTCTATTAAGCATGAATTGTTCTGTCATGTCTCATGTCACTTGAGAGAGTTGATTACTTTGAGAAAATTCAAATGTAAGCATTAGCATACTTATCTTTCGAGGGAATGTGCTTGCTCTCATAAGAGCAAACCCATTGGTTGTGTGTGTGTGTGGGTTTTTGTCAGGAAAAAACATTGCCAATAGACAAAACTACAAAAGGGGGGAAAAACAGAAAAACATTTTAAAAAGAAGAAGAAGCTGTCAGCAGCTTTTCACGCGCCCAACAGGGGCACACACGCTTTGCTAACACCAATGACTTTTCAGTTTTTTTTTTTTTTTTTTAAATTATATTTAAATCTCAAAAACTGTGCCCAAAACCCGAACTTGCAGAACAACCTCATACACTCTCTCCTCCACCTCATAACAACTCTGACAAAAAAAAAAAAAAAAAAAAAAAAAAGCATCAATGGGGATGCTATAATGTTTTGTTGACCGAGTTCGAATGCTATGTGTTGTTAAGCAAAAAATGACATGATTTTTTTTTTCCTACAAAACAAGTTATGGGACAACAATTTTGAAACATAGTGGTCTGTTAAATCTGAAATTAGAATTCATTATTGTTGTGTGTCTTTTGCACATTCCATAATTCCCAAAATGGCACATGAAGGTTTCTGGAATTTTACTACAGTTTCCTTTCTGTGTTAATGTCACCAGTTTAGTATATTACTTGTGTTCTAGTTTGACTTCATGCATGACAATAGATTTGATAAAGCAAGGCTGTGGCTAAACCAACGAGATGGATCAAAATCTAGAACATATTATTTTAGAACAATAACACTGGCACTGAAAGAACTGTGTTTCAACATTATGGAACCAAGCTTGTAAATAAAACTTATTGCCTTGTACACTAAGCTTGACAACTTTTGGCAAAAATATTGAAGAACCAAACTTTGAACCTCCTCCTGCAGCTCTTCCCCCCTTTTCCCTCACTCATTACTTCTTTATTGCTTGCTTATTGATCTATCTCTCAAGAATTTTTTCATGGAACTTTATCTATGTTGTGTAATAAGCTTCCAATGGATTTTCATATTCTAAGCTAAATATTATCTATGTGAATGTTGTAGAAAGCAGACGATCTTCGGTTGATATTTTTCTCAAGGCAGCTGGATACCTTGATTGTGCTGTCAGACATGTTCTCCCTCAGTTGCCCACTGAGCAAAGGTAAATAGATGATTGGTAGTCTAATTCATGATATGTGATTGAATGGTTTTTCCTATATATGGTCCCGTTCTTATAATCATTCTCTAATTTTAGGAGAAATTTACCAGTAGACCTTGCTGAAGGAGTGCTGCGAGCACTATGCCTCCAAGCATTAGGGCAGGTATTGTTTCATTTAATCTATCTTGTTTTATAACATTTCTTGGATACACAGGATATACTAGTAAAACCCATAAAGTTTGTATGTAATTACATTAAAATGCATTACTATTAGTTGGAAGGGAACATAAGGTTCTGGTATCCCTATTTGATGGATGAGAAGTTACTTACCCAAGGCACTAAACAATTGTCAAGTTTATCCAAAAATTAGGCAAAATAAGGATGCCAGCTGTATCCCCAGTACCCTACAGAATAAATTGTGTACTAAATGACATTTGAAATGGCAAAACTGCAATTTGATTTCACCATGCTCGGAGCTGGTAGTTATTTCCAAAAATCCCAAATATGGAGCGTTTGTTATTTTTTCATTAGCCTTCTAGGTTAATGAGCTAACTTCTTTATAATATGTTAGACATTCTTTATTTTATGATGTTCAATTTTGTGGTCAAGCCATGAACAACTTCAGCTCTCTTTAATTTGTTTCATAGACTATACTTGTCCAAATTACTCAGCATGCAAATGAAATTACAAAAAAGTTTTACAAATGCAAGAGCCTTTACATCTGGTATATTAACTTGCTTCTTTTTTTGCCATACATGTTATTTTCTGATGTTTGGTTAGGCTGTTGATATTCAACTTGGACTTGCAATCGACAGTACTAAGGCCACTCTAGCAGTGAAAAGAAGGCTTGCTTGTGAGATGGTAAAATACTGGCAGCAGGTAGTGGCAACACTTCATGACTCATTAAAAAGGGATACTGTGGCATATTAGCACATCTTTGCACATATAATCATCTAGTGGTTTGCAGAAAATGTGTGCTAAATTATCAGACTAACTCCTTATCATCTGTTCACAACATCTACATGTTTTTAGACTGTAGCATGCTCATTGTATAATTATTTATCTGCTTCATTTCCATGTCTTTTTTGAGCAACAATTTATTTATTATTTTTAACAGGTGAAGATGTGTACTCTTAACATCAATCTTATCAGTCATACTCATTTTATTTGGTGGTTTATGATAATAGGAGAAAGTTGTTTGGTTTCTTGTAGCTTCTTGACTGAACATAAACAACTATTACTAAATAATGAACAGTCCGTCTATTCAAATGTATTTATCTGTTTTTTGTCAATTAAAAGATTCTTAGTTAAAGTCTGCTTTTTCCAACTCTTATTTTACTTTATATCTGAGGTTAAAAGAATTTCAACTTTTCATCTGCTTCACCTTCCTTTCCAAACCTTGATCCCATCTCTTTAAATAAAAAAATGAGAGGATAACAAAGCAAAAAAGAAAAGGTTGAAAGAGATAACACACTCCTAAACTAAGGACTAAGTTGTAAGCTAAAACTTTCATGGATATTTGCATCTTGAAACTTGAAGTTTGGCATAGTGTGCACAGAGGGAGTAAAGAAGATAAGATCTGACTTTGTATGATGAAAATATTATATTTCTAATGGTGAAGCCTTTTTATCTTCCCAAGTAGTTGGTAGTAGTGCTTCTTATCAGTTGGCCGTTAGGAGTTCGCATCCAAGGATCATGTGACATTTCAAAGAAAATTGGTCATGTTGAGTTGGATTTGGTTGGAATATGAAGATATGGCCTCCATATCATCATAAGTGAAAATTTAAAAAATCTTGATTCCTCCATTTATCTTCACTTTTTCTTTTTCTCCAGATTTTATGATGTTGACTGCTTTATATGTTGCCGCTTTTGTAGGCCCAAGATAACATCATGAATCTTCCATTATCCAATGGATGGGGTGAAAAGCATAGGCTTTTCGTGAAGTGGAAATACATTGAAGCTAAGGTATATTGTGATTCTTGATACTCACGATTTCAATTGTATGTATTTATCAGTTTTCTTTTGATCTATTACTTGGACATCTGAATTGTGGAAGTTTGATGAATCATCTTTCTTTACTAAATGAACATTCTAGCATTTAACACTCCAATGTGATGTAATCTGAAACTGTACTCCTGGTTTTGAAGTACCTGGTCTTTTGTTGTTACTCTAAACAAGCTTTCTTCATTGATAAATCCAAATTACCTTTCATTCTACTGGTTCCAAGATTTTGACATTAAATTAAAGCTCAGGCAAATAAGGAATTCTGCTATTATAGTTGTGCAGTACTACAATATATTTACACTTATCAAAAATAAAATAAAATAAAAATACTGCAATTTCTTTGTAGCGTAACAGTACTTGTGATCAATACTTTTGTCAATGTGCTCAGAGGAGAGATTTTGCAACTGAAGTGAAAGGCAATACTGTTTCTTCATTGTACAATTGAGATGCTTTTGTTGAACGTTGGGCCATTGTTAAGTTTGGTGCCATAACTTTTTCATCCTGGATGTTTATTATCCAATTGAAGTGATACTTACCTTCTTTTATGAGTAGCAATGTAGTATACTGCTAATCCTGTTTTTACTTGAATCTGAAATGATCCAAATTTTCCTATATTTCCTCTAGGCTGCAGCATACTATTATCATGGCCTAATCCTTGATGAAGGAAATACAGAAAAATCTCATGGAATGGCTGTAGCTGCTTTGCAAGCAGCAGATGAGTATCTCAAAGAAAGTAAAAAGGCATGTGAAGATTTCAATGCAGCTGTTCCCCTCTCCCGGTAATCTTCAAATTCCCCACTCTCAAACTTCAGCCTGTACTTTGATCAACTTCTTGTATTTGTATTTCTTCTTTGACATTATTGTTCAAATTAACAATGCTAGAGTTCAAAATTTATTCTGAAGACTACATCTATGATAGATGCCAATGTGAAACATTGGACCACATTTTAGTTTTGTGGTACCTATGTCTGCTGCTAAATTTAAGCAATTAATTAAACAGAGGTAATGGAGAATGCAGAAATATTGCATACTAGATCCTACCAACTTTTATGATCTTATAGGCTATTTGTTTTATGGAATTGTAATGGTTGCAGACAAGTTTTTCTTGGTGCTCAAGTAATGTTTAGCTTTTATGTTATTTTTGTGTTCTACTATGGCGTTAATAAACATTTCCAAGAAATTAAGGGATGTTTCTTTTGGGCCATCTTAACTTTAGAGTTTCAAATTTTTCCTTTGCCTTTTGTATTTGAATGCCCATTTACTCTTCACTGGAAATATGTGAAGTATCTTGTGTCACTTTGTATCTAAAAGCATAGCTTATGAGGATGATGCCATATACTCAAAGACTTGTGCTTATCCTTACTATATTATGCATTGACATTATTTTTACCTGCAGTGTTCTACCACATGATGCTTGTTTTCTATATCATGGTCCATGGTACAGGAAAATACTCATATAACTACTATATCAAATCACTATAACTTAATAGAATAGAACATCATAGAGTCCAACTAGACTTGTTGGGTTGTGCCCACACGGGCTTAGTCCAACTAGGCAGTATTTGGATTTGGGGAAAGGGGGAAGACTTGTTCGGTTGTATGCCACTGTTCACAAATAAAGAGTGGAGTTTGAGCATTGTTACCATTGTAATAGTATGATAGTTTGATAACTTGAAATGGAAGTTCCAGAATCCAGACCATGTAGTTGGCCATTTTGAAAATTGAGACGAAGTGTTTCCCTGGGTATAATAAAGCTTATTGTCTTTGGAGCATGTCGTAGTGTAAAATGGACTTTGAAATTTCTGCATAAAACTAGTCATTATCTGCAGTCTGCAGATATTATTGGCATCATTTAAAGGTAAATGCTAAGAGAGAATGGGTATAATGAGTTTTACAGTAATTTTGAGATCGTTTTACTTTTGGTCTCTTTGAATGGTGGAGTGTGAGGAAATGCAAAATATTACGATTTTACCAAGCTCTCATTTTCATGCAGAAACCCACCTCTCTGGGGGACCATGAAGTACCTCTCTGAGAAGATTCCAAAGGACACTTCTAGCAAGGTGCGAATCAACCGGGATCTATATTCACATGAAAAGTAAGTGTTATTTGTGATTTCATCTTAATGGTTATTTGCTAAATTCTCCTCTTTATTCACTGAGTATATTGTGTTTATGCGAGACAATATTTCTATTTTCCCTTTTTAAAAAAAAAATCTTTTTACACTTGAAAATTGAAATGGGCATTCTTGTTTCCATTGATGTGGAATGTTTCCGTACATGATCCATTCAGTTGGGAAAAACATAGATCACTTACACATTTCAACAATGTTGCTATAGAATTATGGAGACTGCACCAACATTGCCCGACTTTGCATTAGCCCTTAAACCTGATGAATATCAGCTTCCTCTTGTGGATGCATCTTGGAATCGCGAAGCAACAAACAAGTGACAAATAGGGAGGGATCCAACAAAAATTAAAGGGACGTTTTTGCATAATTCAGATTCTGAACACAAGCGGCCAAACACTGTAAGCTGACCGACCATTCTTGATCTTGATATCCTGAACAACGCTGCTCTTGCTGTATAAGAGAGGTCCATACTCACTGTGCCCGCACTTATTGTTCTCCCTTTCTGTTAATTCCATCTTTGATCCCTTTTCATGTCAGACTTTTCGTTTTGTCCTTTGTACGAACAAGTCGCGTTTGCTTGTAATCTTGGAATCAAGGAAAAGGAGAAAAGTGATGTTGTATATCTTTGGCAGTGGACTGAAAGATTTTCATTTGGCTGTTACGTTGTCATTTAAGGGGAGGAAGTACAATTCTCCAATTGTTTGATAGGAAAGCTTTTTCTATATAAATTCTCAATTGTGTGTAAACTGTTAAAGACAAGATTATTATACAAATAATATATATCTAAAACAGTATGCTTCTTGATTGATTTAGAGACCCCTCCTCGTATGGACATTCATCTATGGCATTTTGCGCTGGTTTATATATTTAAATATTTAGTGATAGATTGAGGTAAATTACGAGATACAATTTTATTGGATACATTTTTCCCCCAACTCTTTCATATTACCACTCAATCTCTTATCTTATTTTTTCCCCATTTTGTGAGTTTCATTTTTCACACATCTATTACTTTATTCATTTTACTGTACTTTTAATTTTAAATTTATAATTACAATTATACTTTTTTTTTTATTTTAAATCAAAATAAATTTAAAAATAAAATAATTTTAGAATTAAAAAATTTTCAAATATTAAATTGAAACAAATAACATTTCGGAAGCAATTAGAAACATTAAATACTATTTAAAATCAATTTTGAAATACATTTAATTTAAATACGAATACATAAATAAAATGAAAAAACATGAAATTCATTGTCGAAATATCTTCTTCATAATATAATCGCAATTTTTTTATTATTATTTTTTTTTTTTTTGTAATTTAGTAGTTCTTTTGTCATTATTTATAAAGTATCTTTATACGACAGTTGTAACTAGACCTGACAATTATGGACTTCTTGATGTTGATGTTGAAGTGTTGAACAATCTGAAATTTGAAATTTTATTTTGTTTAATTTTATTCTAAAAATTAGTATGGACTTCTTTAATTATGATTTTTGGATGTTTTTTTTTTTAAAAAAAAAAATTTAGGAAGGTTATAAATTGAATATTTTTTTAGTTTTGTTTGATGAATTGAATTGTAGTTTTTTTTTTTTTTATAACTTTAAATTTTAGTTTTTTAAAATATATTACTAGGTTTAGCGGGTTTAAACGGGTTTCGTGTCATATCGTGTCGACACGATTCGAAACCTGTTAACAAAACGTGTATATCGTGTCAACCGGTTTAACCCGTTAACAAATCGTGTTCGTGTTCGTGTTAAAAATTTGAACCCGATAACCTTAACATGTCATGTCCGTGTTTAGCCTTATCGTTTTCGTGTCATTATCGTGTCGACCCGTTAACGAAGTCATATACACAAATTGCCAGGTCTAGTTGCAACTCCTTTGCCGCAGTGCATTTTTCCTTTGCCGCTTGCATACCTTTCCTTTGCCGTAGCTGTAACATCCCGTGTTACGGCCTTTAATCGCAGATTAATTATTTAATTAATTCCGTTAAAAATAATTAAAAAGGATTTAATTTGGTTAGGATTCTCTTTAATTAATTAATGTTGTCCACCATGGATCGTGGAACCTTGCCTAAACTAGAGTCTTAAGCCTATTAGGAATAAAGAGAGTAGACCTTTTACTACACAGATTCCAATTACGAATCCTAGACCTATATACCTGTTAGGAATAGAAAGTAGGTCTTTACTATTCAGACTCTGATTGAGATTCCTAACTCTATAAATAAGGGATTAGAAGGCAATTAGAACCCTTACCACCCATAGTTATATTACACGAAATTATTCCCAAGAGATTCCCCACCGCCAAGCCTAGGGAGATCAATCGGATGGAAATCTTAGAGAAGAACCTTAATAGCCAAGGGATGATTAATCACTACAAGAAAAATGCACATAGACAACGGTTAATAACCGTTGTCGTAGGGGTATAATTTCTGTTGTTGAAGCCGGTGTTGTTGTAAGTCTCGCGCATAGACAACAGTTTTTTAACCGTTGTCTTTTTTAGAAACAACAACGGTTTTTTAACCGTTGTCTATTAAGTGTTGTTGAAGCCGGTGTTGTTGTAAGTCACGCACATAGACAACGGTTAATAACCGTTGTCTTTTCTAGAAACAACAACGATTTTTTAACCGTTGTCTATTAAGTGTTGTTGAAGCTGGTGTTGTTGTAAGTCACGCACATAGACAACGGTTAATAACCGTTTTCTTTTCTAGAAACGACAACGATTTTTTAACTGTTGTCTATTAAGTGTTGTTGAAAACCGGTGTTGTTAAAAGTCACGCACATAGACAATGGTTAATAACCGTTGTCTTTTCTAGAAACGACAACGGTTTTTTAACCGTTGTCTATTAAGTGTTGTTGAAACCGGTGTTGTTAAAAGTCATGTACATAGACAACGGTTTTTAACCGTTGTCTTTTCTATAAATGACAACGGTGTTTTAACCGTTGTCTATTAAGTGTTGTTGAAACCGGTGTTGTTAAAAGTCACGAGCATAGACAACGGTTTTAAACTGTTGTCGTTTCTTCCAAAGACAACGGTTTTTTACCCATTGTCAATTCAATGTTGTTGAAACCCGTATTGTTAAAAGTGATGCACATAAACAACGGCTTTTAACTGTTGTCTTTTGTAAAAAAGACATCAGTTTCAAACTATTGTCTATTGTAAAATAGACAATGGTTTTTAACCGTTGTCTCAACGATTTTTAACCGTTTTTAACCTGCTTAAATTTTAATCATATAAAAAATCAATTTATCCATTCACCATGGCCAAGTGTAGTTACATAATTTTGCACAAGCTAAGGTTCAAAATACAAAAGAACTAATTAACAAGTGTCTAAATACTTTCATGACCAATTCAAATCGAATCATATATCATCTAAGTCATAATACTACAAAAAAAATAATTTCACGAACCAAATCTAAATGATCACAACGTTCTAATGATCAAACCATACCTACTCTATATAACTTGATAGAATATCGGTCCATTTTGAATGTGAAGTCTAGAGCTAAGAGAGATAATAAACTCTACAGCATGATACCTTTGCATCTCTCCAAACTATTAACTGCATACTGCCACTAACATTGGACCATAGGAAGAAGTGTGTAGTAAAGCTGCAAACAATCACAAAAAATAATAAGTTTCAAAAAAAAAAAAAAAAAAAAGGCTCACTAGTAACAAGTTCAAGTATAATTAGCTAGTCAGAAGACAAATACGGGAGTTTTATCTGTTTGAAAAAAAAAAAAAAAAAAAAAAAAAAAAAAAAAAAAAAGAAAGACAGATAGTAGATACAAAATAAAGGTAGCAACTCTTAGCTTAAGGAGTTCATAGTACATAGCACCAAAAAAATCACAGTATTAGAACACAAAAAAGACTATGAAATAATCCATTACAACATGCTCATCAGATGAGAAAACAGATCAAAATGACTAGATGAACCCGTAAGGCGTAAACAATGCAGAAAACTAGACAGACAAATATAAATAGTGCAACTGTTAAAAGACTTCTTTAATATGAAAAGCAGCCTCAAGTCTCCTCGGGCTAAATATAACTTCTGGAAGGTCACGTCTACTTTTGTTAATATTGTTATAGAGATTTACATGCTTACTTTAGCTAATATATCGAAGTCTGGATTCAGGAAATATGTATAAGGCTTCTATATTTATTGAAAATGAACCCAAATCCCCCCATCATTCACTTTGGTTCTGGCAGATAACAAAGAACTAAATGCTAAAGCAAACATGTGATTGTAAAGAAATCAATCCAACGGAAACCACTTAAATTCCTTAAATTCCTAAAGTTGATATCCACAATATAGATTCAGAATATAACCTCAGTCTCCTTCTGAAGTGGAAAACAAACAGAAAAAAATAGAGAGTTTATGCATGAAGTTATGCAATCTTTTATACATAGGTTCATAGCAAACAGAAAATATAAAAAAAAAAAAAAAAAAAAAAAAAAATCAGAGAGTTTATGCATGAAGTTAGTTTACCAGTGACATCAAATTTAACCCAAAAGGAAGCTTACATGGCTTGGAGGGAAGTGTTTGCCACTGAGAAGGTCAAGCAAAAGCGTTCCAAAACTATACATGACGCTCTCCGGAGTTATTCTTCTTACAGAAGTTTCAAAAACCAACTGGATACATGGCTTGGAGGGAAGTGTTTGCCACTGAGAAGGTCAAGCAAAAGCGTTCCAAAACTATACATGACGCTCTCCGGAGTTATTCTTCTTACAGAAGTTTCAAAAACCAACTGGATGATAGTCCAACAAGAAAACATATATATGGTTTATATGGTAAAATCCACAAATCATTACCAAGGCCCACAATAAATATTACTAGATTGTATTACAACAAGGATAGGGAACATATATTATAATATAAGCATGTCATAATTATGCTTATTTATCAAATAAAACACATATTTATAAAAGATAAGATGCTGATACTTGTGCCACAAACAGAAACACTTTACTTGTGTCACCTCGGCATTCTGTCGAACAGTTTCCAGGCAGTCAGAACCAGCATGTTTTCCACTCTGTTTGGTATTTAGTTGCTCACTAGCCTCCACAGCAATGTCCTTCATAGCAACCTTAGGAGGCTGTTTGGGCTTAAGTATCTCAAGGTTTCTCCCAGAATTTCCTTTCAAAGAAGTCACAACCTTCCCCGATTTATTTCCAGTTTAGAAGGCCCAGGGGCCATTCTTCTACAGGACTTCAGGCGACGTCACTGTCCGAGGCGACGACACTGTCCGATGCGATGCAGTGTTTTGCTCTTGTCTTCTCAACTTCGGAGGTTGGACGCGGCGAGGCCACGGTCGGCGGAGAGCACTGGGCAGCGACCACTCTGACTGCGGAGATGGCGGAGATGGCGGTGTCTGAGAAGAATGATGGTCGGTGGAGAGCACTGGGTTTGGAAAGAGGGAATGTCTGAGGAGAATGGAGAATGGCGGTCGGTGGAGAGCACTGGGTTTGCAAAGAGGGAATGTCTGAGGAGAATGGCGCGGCGGAAATTTTGTTTGACAGAAATTTTGCCCGATAAGTGTTCTCACTCAAAATTTGTAGAGGGAAACAATTGAAGGAATTATTTTGATTTTGCATAGAGGGAAATAACATAACATATAGAGAAAATTTCAATTTTGGTCACACGACTATAGGGGCCTTGTTAATTTTAGCACCTAACTTTCAAAAGTATCAATTTAGTACCTTGAGTATGTAATTTTTTTCAATTTTGGTCACTCCGGCCAATTTACCGGTCAAATTTGACCGGAAAAATTAAATCCAACTTTTAGGCACAAATCTGAGGGATAAAATAGTCTTTTCCTGATCTGCTCCTAATTGACCGGACCGCCTTTTTGATCCGGTTCACCTAGCCAATCTTCGCCAACCGTCCGGCGGAGATGATGAAGCAGGTGTGACTCCTATGACAGACAGGACAGCAACAAAGTTAAACCCAGGATGTTCATACAGCTACAAATTCTTCAAGAATTACATATTAAAGAACCAAAATTGAGAAATTACCATTGAGGAAACTCTCAGGAGCCTTGGTGGAGAACACATGACACCGCCCAATTTCACGCCGGCAACACAGCAGTTTCCGAGCTCTAAACCCTCCTCCTCCTTTGTTAACGTTTCGGAGCATAAATTTCTTGGCAGAGTGCTTGTCAATGGAGGAATTGGAGGAACAGCCGCAAGCCACGGAGTTCAACCTCATCCTCCCAAACTCAAGATTATGGTAGGCAGCAGACATCATCCTCGGAGGAGTGTTCCTTAAAAGCTCACACCAGGCTTTGTCTCCCGCCCGGAATATCAAGAACCCACACCGGAAACTTTATTGGGTTTCAAAATCTCTGGGAACCCATCACAAAAGAGGAAAACTGCAAGTTCCAACTCGGGGACGACGGTAGCTACCCAATTTGAACGTTCTTCAAAGGAACAAGAGTTGGAGAAGAAGAAGAGAACTACTGTACAATTCAATGAAAGTCAAGCATTCTAGTGGATGAAAATGAACCACATATATATGAATCCTTCGATATTGATTTTTACTTTTCTTTTTTGCTTTTATGGTTAGATTTGTGGTCATCGTGTAGTCGAAAACATGGCATTAGGAGATACATTAGTTCCGGTTGTACAGCCGGACTTTTTGCTGGTTCTGACGCGGGACGCCGCTGTTCCGCCGCCAGGTGAAATGGGCCAAGGAGCTGAGGAAGTCGTGTAGGTGAACCGGATCAAAGAAGGCGGTCCGGTCAATTAGGAGCAGATCAGGAAAAGACTATTTTGCCCCTCAGATTTGTGCCTAAAAGTTGGATTTAATTTTTCCGGTCAAATTTGACCGGTAAATTGGTCAGAGTGACCAAAATTGAGAAAAATTACATACTCAAGGTACTAAATTGATACTTTTGAAAGTTAGGTGCTGAAATTAACAAGGCCCCTATAGTCGTGTGACCAAAATTGAAATTTTCTCTAACATATATTATATACTATGTACTAATATAATTAGGAAAATAACGAAATTTTATTTTAATTTTATAATAAACTTTATTTTTTCAAAATTAAATAAGTATATTCATGGTTTTATAGGGACCGGATCCACTATAAACCGGGCGATATAGATATAGAACAAGGTAAGAAAATATTAGCTTTATTACTTGGGTCGCTAGACCCAAAATAGTACCGACGGGTATATAGGTACAGAACGCAAGATTAATAGATTTATATACTGTAGATTCATAAAATCTTTACTTTAGATTCATAATTTCTAAATCGTAGATTCATAATTTAAATACAGTAGATTCATAATTTAAATACAGTAGATTCATAATTTCTATAATGCAGATTCATAATTTATGTATTGGTGATTCATAATTTCTAAATTGTATAGTTATCAAATTATGAACATATATAGTTTTGTGATTTGTGAATACAGAGTTCAACAATTGGGAATATGAACATCGAAAATTATGAACATAGAGTTCTGTAATTGTGAATATATATAGAGTTCAATCATTATGAATATGAATTTCAAAAGTTATGAATATATAGTTCGGTAATTATGAACATAGAACAGTGTGCACCATGCATGGTGCACAGGGTTGCACATCATAATTTGCCCTTTATTACCCGAAGGTTTATTACCCAGACAGCTGGCGGCCCAATTATTACAAAGATCGCGGCAAAAGAAATGGGCTATAGCTAACTGTACGATATCAACTACTCTTTCATATCCATTCTCCACGTGTCTCATGCATGAACACCACCCCATATTGTTTTTTATACTTGATAATTATTATTATTTTTTTGAATTCATAAATTGGTCTTAATTGTAATATAATTGAAAATTAAACTTTAATGAATTTACTTTGAAATTTTGGTGAATAATTTTATATTTAAATATGAACGAAAGTAGAACTATTAAATTAACTTTTGAATTGTATTCTTTCTTTGTTAAATTATAGGTAAAGGATAAGGTGTAACACTTTAGTATACAAGAGTTGGTGTGATTTGGTGGATTTAGTTTTGTTTGTTATGTTAAAGGTCTTGGGTTCTATCTTTTGTGGTGACATTCTTAACCTATTTTATACAATCATTGTCTTGGTTCTCAAAGACAACACATAAGCAAACTGGTAATATACTAGATGTTGCGCTTGAGTACACAAGTGTTGGTGTAACTTGGTGGGTTTAGCTTAGTTTATTATGTTAGAGGTTTCAGCTTCTATTTTTCCTAGGGGGAATTTTTCAACAATTTTCTAAAATTGTTGTCTTGGTTTTCACAAACAACACAGAAGCAACCCAGTTATATACCAGATGTTGCAGCTTTAAACATAAGAGTTTGTGTTGCTTAGTTGGTTAGATTGCTTACTTGTTAGGTTTGAAGTTATAGGTTTGACTCTTTTTGTTAACATCCTTGTTTTTATTTTATATACCTTTTAAATAATGATGCGCAAAGACAACGGTTTTTTAAAACCGTTGTCTTTGTAGTGTTGTGTATTCAAATATGCTTAAAGACAACATACCAAAGACAACGGTTAAATAAAACCGTTGTTTTAAACAAATAAAGAACACGCAACGACAACGGTTATATAAAACCGTTGTCGTTTTAGTGTTGTGTATTCGAGTGCGCTTAACGACAACACACCAACGACAACGATTAAATAAAACTGTTGTCTTTTTTTAAAAAAGAGCGCACAAAGACAACGGTTTTAAACAACCGTTGTCTTTCTAGTGTTGTGTATTCCAGTGAGCTTAAAGACAACACACCAACGACAACAGTTAAAAAAACTGTTGTCTTATTTTATAAAAAAAAACGCACATAGACAACGGTTTTAAAAAACCGTTGTCGTTGTGGTGTTGTCTTTTCACAAAATGCACAAAGACAACACACTTATAACAATGGATAAGTAAAAACCGTTGTCTTTGACAAAAATGTTGCATCAAAGACAACGGTTTTGGACCAAACTGTTGTCTTTTATACAAAAGACAACACATTTCTTAAAAACTGTTGTCTTTCTAGTGTTGTCTATGTGCATTTTTCTTGTAGTGAATTAAGGCTAAGAGGTAATCCATGTCTCGACAAAACCTATTTTCCTCGCTATATCTTATTTATTGGCTCCTTTGATAATCGTATGTGTAATTCTGTGATTGAGTCTTAATAGAGCCTTGCTTAGGGTTTATATGGTGTTTATTTGATAATCTTGATGTTCTTGATATTATGATTGATTATATGTGTGATCTCGCATTTTAATTATGTCTAGAGCCCTAGGGTTTATATCGTGAATTTCGTATTATGGTGTTCTTGGTATATTTGGGTGAGTTTATGCATGATCGGGTGTTGAGTCTAGCCTAGGACTTGTGTTTAGGACTTTGCATATAGATTTCTTGATATTCTTGTGGTTCCGGATGCTCCTGAACCGTTATATGATTAATGTGGAGTCTTGACATGTTTAGGAATCGTGTTAGAACGTATTTGGTATAATTCTTAGTTTAATCCCGTTAATTGAATACGTGGTGTTGTCATTATGTGTTTGAATGTGTTTGGACATGGTCTCGGGTTCCACGAGGGATCCCGGGTCCAAAAGTTGCCTGTGAGTCAGTGGGGGGTAGGTGGGGGCAGGCGACTGCCCGCCGGGCACCCGCTGGATTGTGGACCGCCGCCCACCTACTGGAAATTGGTGGTGCGTCGTGATTTTTCCCCCGTTTGTTGTTTCCCCGTGTCCCATTGTACCCCATTGGTCGTGTATGAGTCTCATTTGGTGTTTTGGGTATCGTTCTAGGATTTTATGTGTAATACGTGTCGTTGTTGTTGTGTCTTGATTGTTATTTGGTTATGTGTTAATTGATTGAATGATGATGAGTATCGTGGTCATTGCGCAATGGCCGGTGTGTCTGATGATGATGATGATGATAATGATGAGATTGTGATTGGTGAAAATGAATTGTTGGAGATTGGCGCAACTTGTGCCCGGTCATTGTACTAAAGGTACAGGCCATAGCGGTGACTGTGCTGAAGGCACACACCCACCTTAGACTTGCTTGCCGTTGAGCATGGGTCAGGTTATAAATGCTGCGGTGTCATGTTAGAGCTATATGCGCTAACCCCTTGATATTGACACTAGAGGTGTGTATCATGTGAATGGCACTGCGGCACCATCTTGATATGTTGGTGGTTGATAGGCGGTTTGTCAGTGGGGGCATGTAGTTGCCCGGAGGCATAAGGGGTGGTGATATAAGGGTGGCCTGGAGGTATAGGTTGGAACTGATATAAGGACGGAGGGGAGCTACAAGGTTGGAACTTGGTATAAGGTTGGAGGATGAATTGTGTGCTTTGATGACTACTTGCTAATTGATTGTCTTGAATGCCTTCATTGCCTCTATTTGCTATTTATATGCTTGTTTGTCTATTATGTCTTGTATCGTGTTCTTAGGACGCATGCTAGTCTTTATGATTATATTGTCGAGTCTATTATCGTGTCTTGAGTCTTGATCTTGGATTTAAATTAGAGTCTCGTAGGTTAT